ACAACATTAGGCTATATATTACCTTATCCACAAATAAAGGGCAAAATATTATAAACTGAAAACAAGTTAATTGTTAAAACTAAAGGGAAGCATATACATACTTTTATTTTTTATTGGTCTTAGTATTAAACTCTACACTTGGAATAAGAAATTTCTTTAAATATTGTAATAAAAATAGACTATATATAATTATATATATCACAATTTTGATGTGTACGCATGAATATCATAACAGTATTATAATTTGCTCTTCAGCATAATTTATTAAAATAGAGAATTCATATCTATTGGTTTAAAGCAAACACATGACCATTACATTGTCATTGCTATCTGCCGCGGGCTCTACCTGCGGGTACCTGTCAGGTATACTTCACACCCCCATTGTTTTATTGCCTATACACACCGGCAGATTTCACACCTTTAATCGTCCTAATTTACACAAAGCAAATGGGGAAAAACAAACACAAATCCAATATATGCAACATTTTTTTAAATCATTGCCCTAAACGGTATTGCTAAAAGCACACTAAACATGGAGTAGCAATTCCTGCCCTAAGAGAAATATTGTACAAAAAAATAAACACAACAGCAAGGGTAAATCCTTAATCTTTCTCCATATGATGTAAACAAACTCTCTTTAATTTTATTTGTTTAAGTCAAGATTAAAACATTTTTGCACCACCCGGACCTTTAAACTTCGGCGGACCTTTTCTTATACGGGCCGGACCTTTTCTTATAAAAGGCGGACCTTATATGTTATCGTATTAGGTCCCCCCGGACCTTTAAACGAGGCGGACCAAATATTATGCGACAACGGACGGACTACAGACAAAATGTGATCAGAAAAGCTCACTAGAGCTTTCAGCTTCGGTGATCAAACGCAAATATGAGATTTCTTTTGTGTAAGAATAAATAAGAAAGAAAATAGCACTGACATACTTTTCTTAAAGAAAACCGTTAATTCCTGCTTTTAAAAAATGTGATATTAACATATACTCACCGTTATGAAAAGAATAAGGGTACTCATTCTCCTTATGGAGATACTGGCTTTAGGATTACTCTATATCGTCTCTAACAAGAGTGTTCGACCTTGCTGTTTCTCTCTCTCCACAGAAACTAAAAAAGCACTGTGTATCGGCTAATTTAAGCCAGTATTATTATCATCATTTACGATATTTATCATAATTTATGATATAGAGAAATTCATAAGCAAGAGGATTATATGCGTCTAATAACCAAATGTGGTAATAGTCAGTAAGCTTTTAATTTCAGTCAAGACTTTGAACGGAAGGTGAATACCTTTTTTAATTAAAAAAAACTTAATGTACGCACATTTATTTACAATGATACCTTAACAAAATATATCTAAAATTGGCGACATCCACAGACAGTAAATCTTGGACTTTTCAAAAGTTACTGTACAATGCCATTTAATCATACCGGTTATTTCGAAAAATCCGTAAATCTGCGAATTTATTTTCTGGTATTTAATGTCGTGCTTAGTGAAAAATAACATTTTTACAGCAATGCATTTTTTGCTTCTAATCGAAACAATGAAGATTATGAAAAGACATTCGTGTTTTTCCATGGTTTGTGATCCAAATTTCATTAATTTTATGGCTTTTTTTTTCAAGAATATTTTCTGCAATAGTTGTGCTCAATTATATTGGGAAAACGAGCAGAATTTTTTAAAGATGATCTCTACATATTCTTATGTAAAACTTTGACCCTCTGCCCCCCCCCCCCCGAAACCCTGAGGGTCATAATTTGAACAAACTTGATTCTACAATACCTAACATTGCTTCAATAAATATGACTAATAATGGCCTAGTTGTTTTTAAGAAGAAGATTCTTAAAGGCATTTCCTATGTAACCCTGGGGCCGTGAATTTCACAATTTTAGTAGAGGGCTCAATGCTTATTACAATCATGCCAACAGTTTGACTGCTTGATGTCCAGGAGTAAAGAAGAAGATTTTTAAAGATTGCATTAATTTTGGTGGTATTAGCCCTACCCCCCAGGCCCCCCCGGGGGGGGGCAGGGACCATGAAATTCACAAATTTTGTTCCCCTTCACACATAGATGCCATATGCTAAAATTGACTGAAATTGGTTCAGCGGTTTCAGTATTCTCTTTAGAGAAGTGGACAGGCTTTCGCCTACATCCACTTCTCTTCGCAAGCCTTCATGTTTTGATTCTGGAAAACGTGTAAATCTCGAACCGGTGACGGTCTACACTTCAACTGACATTTCGTCTAAAATACGTCTGAATGTACGTAATAAACGTGTTATATTAACAATTTTAACATAAATACACACAATTGTCATTCAAATGTTAATGCACGAGGAACAACAAAAACATACAGAAATAGGTCACCTGAGACAGAGTGACTCAGTTTGGGTTAGAAGGCAGCTGGTTCAAGTGTTAGACACTGTAATACTAATTTCCTTGCTAATATTAGAACTTTAGATGCATGAACATGTAATGTATACTTTTTACATTCACTCCACGAGCCATAGTACTAAAACATATCTTCACATACATGTATGTGTACATGTAAAATAAGGTCCAACCTTGTTTTTTCAAACTCAATAGGATTCAGGAAAAACCTTGAGATATCGAAACATTTCAGATACTGAGGTTAAAATATGTCCAAAAAAAAAAAAAAAAAAAAAAAAAAAAAAAAAGAAAGAAAGAAAAGAAAAAAAACAAGAGGCCCAAGGGCCTTAACGGTCACCTGAGTACAATACAACAATTAAGAGGATCCATAAACTGATAAATGAAGCTTTTTTGCCCAAAAGCAAGAAAAATAGTATGATTAGCATAAACAAAATAATTGATCTAGTATCTATCTGTCCCCCATTTATCACTATTACCATGCAGACTATTAACAAAATGTCTATTTTTAACCCCATATTATTACTTCTCACATTGGCCTCTCTTGGTCTTTGAAGAACATTTAAAAAGATAAGTTATTTTTGTCTTTTTGTTTTTATTCATCTATTATTTCCAAGTCTACCTGATCATTAAAACTATGAAAGTACTATTTGTATAAATTTTCTTGCATAATTCTTTTATTCTATTAACCTTTCAAATACATTATTATGAAAGGTGAATGGCAAAGGGGAATAACTTTGTTCAGCAAAATACAAGTTAATAGAGCCCTGACCAGGACCAGAACACTTGACTAAATGGTCCAGGTGTTCAAAATTCTGGTAAAAATACCTTTGCATATTAAAACTTTTACTATGTTTGCCTTGAATATGCCCAGAAGCATAGAAGATTTTCAAAGAAATACATTTTCACTATATTATTAAATAAATAAAGCCCCACCCTTATACCAGAACATCTGACCCAGGGGCCATAAACTCATAATTCTGGAAGAAGAACCCTTGCTCATCATAACTATATACTTGTTTCTTTGCTTTATAAGCAGTAGTAGAAAAAATATTTTGAAAGAAATTATGCATTTTCACTATATAATCAATTAGAGTCCCCCCACACCCCTCTTCACCAGAATCCCTGACCCAGTGGCCATGAATTTCACAATTTTGGAAGAGGTATTCTTCCTTATCATAACCATGCACTTCCTTTGTTTGAATAATACCCAGGAGCAGAGAAGAAGATTTGGAAAGAAATTATGCATTTTCCCTATATAATCAATACAGCCCCGCCCTAACACCAGAACCCCTGACCCTGGGGCCAGGAAATTCACAATTTTGGAAGCGGCAACCATGCCCATCATAACTATGAACTTAGTTTATTTAATATCCAGGAGCAGAAAAGAAGATTTTCAAAGAATTAATGCAATTTTACTATATAATCAATAGAGCCCAACCCTAACACCTGAACCCCTGACCCTGGGGCCATCAATTTCACAATTTCTGAAAAGGCACTCCTGCTCATCATAACTATGTACTTAGTTACTTTATTTAATACCCAGGAGCAGAGAAGAAGATTTTCAATGAATTAATGCATTTTCACTATATAGTCAATAGAGCCCCACCCTAACACCAGAACCCCTGACCCAGGGGCCATGAAATTCACAATTTTAGAAGAGGCACTCTTGCTCATCATAACTATGTTCTTAGTTACTTTATTCAATACCCATGAGCAGAGAACAAGATTTTCAAAGAATTAATGCATTTTCACTATATAATCAATAGAGCCCCACCCTAACACCAGAACCCCTGACCCTAAGGCCAGGAAATTCACAATTCTGGAAGAGGCACTCTTGCTCATCATAACTATGTACTTAGCTATTTATTTAATACCCAGGAACAAAGAAGAAGATTTTCAATGAATTAATCCATTTTCACTATATAATCAATAGAGCCCCGCCCTAACACCAGAACCCCTGACCCTGGGGTCATGAAATTCACAATTTTCGAATAGGCACTCTTGCTCATCATAACTATGTACTTAGCTATTTATTTAATACCCAGGAGGAGAGAACAAGATTTTCAAAGGAATAATGCACTTTCACTACATGATCTATATAGCCCCACCCTAGCACCAGAACCCCTGACCCTGGGGCCATGAATTTCACAATTTTGGTAGAGGGCTCAATGCTTACTACAATCATGCCAACAGTTTGACTGCTTGATGTCCAGGAGTAAAGATGAAGATTTTTAAAGACTGCATTAATTTTGGTGGTTTTAGCTCCAGCCCTCAGGCCCCAGGGGGGCAGGGACCATGAAATTCACAATTTTTGTTCCCCTTCACCCATAGATGCTATATGCCAAATTTGGTTGAAATTGGTTCAGTGGTTCAAGAGAAGAAGCTGAAAATGTTCAAAAGTTTACGACCGACGGACGCCGGACGCCGACGGACGAAAACAGATAGCAATAGGTCACCTGAGTGACTCAGGTGACCTAAAAAAGCTGTTGGGACTTCAACATATCCATCATTGTTCAACTGCATCTTAAATTCCCTCCGAAATTAGACAATGAATAACATCACTGGTTCTCAATTTTATTACAACATCAAGCAACAATAAAAAACTTAGAGAAAAGAAATACAGACCTAATAATAACTTTATAATAATCTTATATTGTACAGATAGTTTTATTAAATATTGCACTAACACCATTTTTCTATGATATTTTAGTCTTTGGTCTTTGTTTTCTTGGCCTCTATATTAGTCAGTATTTCATCCCATTGGACAAACTGCCTGGATACCAAGGTAATCTACTTGTTGTCAAGGAAACAATTTCTATTATACTTCAGAGATTGTTGGTACTTTATTCATTCATTCAAGGGGGGGGGGGGGGGGAGTTTATACAACAATCAAAGGACAGTGAGTACTGATAGAGGGTGGCATGAATGAATAAAATGTTTTTGAGAATCTGTAAAATGATATGGGAATAATGAAAGTTTATTGCAATTTTTCACAACACATGTATTCGATAAGCAAACTTATTTTATTTGCGTCTTTATGATGAGGACATATATTAATTGAAGTTGTTAAACAATTCATTATATAAAATTTTCTACATAAGGTGAACTGTTTATTTTAAAGGTTTGAAGAATAAGAATGTGCTGAAATGTCGGAAACAAAAGTTTCAAGGTTTTTTGGCTATATGTACTATTGTGGTGTGCAATCATAATTGCAAATTTAAACCAAAACATATTTGAGGATTCCAAAGCATGGATAGGCAGACAGAAATTATATATTCAAGTAATGGATTATAATATCTTCATATTAATTTTTTTTCATTGAATTTAATGTACAATAAATCCTAGTAACATGTCAAAACCAGTTTACCCTCAATTTTAAATTAAGGGAAGCAAAGGTCCTACTATATTCATGTAAAGACCATACATACCTGGGTAGTAAAGTTACAACAAATGGAGGAGCAGAGGACTGATATCAAATAGAGACTTTCCAAAGCAAGAGCAACATTTAACACCTGTAAGCTGTTTGGAGATCAAGTCAGTACATCACTAGGACAAAACTAATATCATACTTTTGCAGTGGCTTGCAATCCCAATGGCTTTTAAAAGAAAAACGTGTAGCATGCAGTCACATAGTCTTACTTTATTTATTATTCTAGATTTCTTACAGGAACTTTGTTTCTACCATTGTTTTATGGGTAGGTGTTAAATAATTTTCTTGTGTAAAGCAAGTTCCTGTCAGTTACTACTGGTATTGCTTTAATAAAACACTATCATTAATCAGTGAAGTCAATAAATGAAAGGTGTACTATCTACAGAGACAAAAAACAAAACAAAAAGGACGATAATATATTTTTTATCATTGAAAACTGTAAATAACACCGCACTACATTTGCACAAGCTTAAATCCAACAGTATAGTGTCCAACTTCATGATGTAATGCCTGTCTAGTCAATTTCTACACAAACTGATTCGTACACAAGGAGTCAATTTGTATACAAAACACCCAGAAGTCAATTTTTACACAAGGTTTTCCTGTATACAAAGTGAGGAGTCAATTTGCTTTTTCTTACAAAATTCCATACAAAATGAGAAGTCTATTTTCTATTTTGGCTGGATTAACTCATAAAGATGTATAAGATTTGGAATAATATTGTACACATCTTTAAAATGGAATCCTGTTTAGTAGAAACTGATAATCAGTTACAAAATTACCTTTATCTAATGTATTATGATGTAATCTGATAGAAATATCCAGAGTAATGGAAATTCATGATTTATGTAATAATTTATAAATTTTTGTTAATGTATATTCTATTTTTCTTCGAAACTGTCAAAAGTAGATATTAAAAAAAACATAATGCAAAACATAACGTATTTTTTCATTATTTTGTCTCCGCAAAAAAGAGTCGCTAGGGTCCTTGTGAGGATATACTGTTGTTTATTCATAACCCAGAACAGCAGCATAAGACTGTGGCTATAGACAGCCATCGTCAAAAAAATATCATTACTGTATATTATCATAAAACTGAGATTAACTAATATATCTCTGACCTGCGAGGTCATTTGTCTGAACTTTACATAGGACAAACAGGATGACTGTCAGACGGACCAAAATGTCTCCTGTTCTTTGATCTAAGAATACTGTACATTCCTAATTGAACTTGAGTACCTAATATCACAAAATGACTCACAAATGTCAAATTACGAGAACAGGAATTTGTGAATGGACTGTTGATTTTTAACACTGTATTTCAGTAATATAAAAATTAAAGCAACTATCTTTACTTTGCGAGTGGTGCTTTATGTGAAAGTGCACACGATAATATATTCAGGATTCTACAGTAAGAATGAAATCTAACATTTATCTGAAGGATACAATATTGTTATATGTTGCCAGCAACTTTCTTGCTTCTTCAGTAAGCTCTGAAGTTTGGTCCTGAAATCAAATTACAAGCAAATCAGTCCAATGATACATCTTTGTACCGGTAAATTTTCAATTGTTTCCCATAATTCATTTTTAAAAATCGTGTGCGTTCATTGTCAAATATCTCTGAGTTACACTTTTAAAAATTGTATGCGTTCATTGTCATATATCTCTGAGTTACACACAGGTGGGTACTTTGAAATCCTACCTGCTGTTTTATCTGAATATGACTCAAGGCCTCAAACTTTTCTGTAAACTTTGGAGTAGCTGTAAAATAAATCATTTACATATAATGTACTCTGTAGATTTGGAATACTTTGATAAATTGTGCTGATGGTGTGTATAATATGATCATGATTTAAGGCCATATTTAACAGTCAAGGTTACTGGAACTATCAAGTTACATGTATATTCATTTGACTAACTTCTTGAATCCATAAATGAAAATAACTTGATACTTTGTTATATTCATTCTTTCTTTGGCAATATATTGTTGTCTCAATTTAAGGTTCACATTTCAAATTAAAAATTTCAATCATTGTTGCTGTTGAGCTCAAACTTTTGTCCTTTATTCTTTGAAATCTAAAATAGACTAAATTCTTTACAAAATCATTATATATACATGTATATGTATTTAGTTAATGCTTTAAAAAATTTGTATTTTACAGTTTTATACAGGATTATATGAAAAATAAAAATACAAGGAAAAATAAGCAGGAGTAATCTCTGTAAACTTTCTAATCAGGTGTTCACTGTAAACTTTCTAATCTCACTCTACATTTAAGGTGTTCACTGTCCAACGTTGACTTTAATTCTTCCATCATTTCCAAATGTTTGGCTTGGCCCCTCAAAAATTCTTCCTCTGTCAAATCAAAGAATCAAAGAAAATCTTTTTTATTAAACATCAAACAACATTAATAGTCAACAACTAATAATATATATATATATATATATATATATATATATATATATATATATATATATATATATATATATATATATTATAATTATAATTGAATCAAAAAAAAGGAGGTCCATGAGCCTTTACAGTCACTTAAGTGTCACTCACTTTGCAAGTTTTCTTCTCAGTTAAGATTTTTTTTTTAATAAACTTATCAACTCCTTTGTAAAACTTGAGAGCCCCTTGGTCCAAATTGCAATGAATTACAAATCTGAACTGAAAGTAAGGGAAGATATTTCCCAAAGTATATTTTTATGGATAAAATTAATTAGAACATAAGGAATTGACAGCACCCCTCCCCTTCCCTCTTTCTCTGACTTGTCTTTGCATTATAATTTGACAGTTTTTTGTCCTGTAATCTTGAGAAAAGAAAAAGATTTTAAAATGTACTTCCATCTTTCTTTAAAAAAAAATTAACTAATTTTGTGACACTATCCCTCTCCTAAGGACCATGATTTAACAATTTTAACTTATTTTAAGCATGCTTCCATTTTGGACGATAGTCCTTGATGGGGAAATATTTTTGTAATACATTTCAGAGTACCGGTAAAAAAAATTTAAATTCTCTTTGTGATCTCATTTTGCCCCAAAGTCAATGATTAGAACAAACTTGAATCTACAGTACATCCAGATACAAGAAAATATTTACAAACATACAAACAAATATTATCTGTAGTTTGAAAATCTTGAGAAGATGAATTGAAAATTTTCTTCCCCCAGTTTTTGTTTTCTTTGTAAGTCTCAAGTCCTTTTGTAGCCTCACCCCCTTCTCTAGGAGGACACAGTTTAACCAGTTGATTCTATACCATATCTCCTTCCCCAGGGGCCACAGTTTAACCAGTTTGATTCTATACCACATTCCCTGCCCCTGGGGCCACAGTTGAACTAAACTGATTCTATGCCAAATCCCTAGCCCCAGGGGTCACAGTTTAACAAGTTTGGTTCTATACTACCATCACCTCCCCACAGGCCACAGTTACTGCAGACACCTCCGACCCCCACTCTAGATCCACACATGGGGGAAATCCTACTGTAGAGCCAGTTTTCTGGGAAGAAAAGTTTTAGAGGGGAAATCCTACTCTACAAGACCATTATTTTGTAATAAGAAGGGGACTACCCCTACATTATGATTTGAATAACTTATTAGTAAATCTCCATTACTAAACAATCATGACATGTGGAAGTTATAAATGAGTGACTCAGGGGACTGGAAAAAATAGAAGTAGAACAAATTTCCTACTTGAAATCTACAACTTAACAATACAGTATCTACAATGTTCATATTGAGAGTAACACATGTATGAGCCATTCCCTGCTATAGATTTATGATATACAGTATGTAGTTATTAGGAGTAACACATGTATGTGTCATTACCTGCTATATATAGATTTATCATATACAGTAAGTAGTTAGGCCAAAAAAAATAATAGTCTTGTTTCCTGCTACCCGACCTACCCTATTTTTTTGCACCCGACCCTAAAGTTTTTTTTTAGTTTTGGAAGAAGAAAAAAATCAGGAATTTCCAGTATTTCATCATTTTGTCACCGTAATCAGTTTCAGTGTTAACATAAAACAAGCATATCATGAAATTCTTGTTTTAAAATATGGATTTTCATAAAATACACTTGAGTTGTGCATAAAAAAAGACATGAAATTTAATTTTAAAAGACAATGTTGATCTGTGACATGTTTAATTTGATCTTGTATTAGTTCATATCCAAAAAATGCCGTTAGAAAAAAATAAAATGAAAAAATAAAATAAAATAATTTTCCTACCTACCTACCCTATTTTTTTCAGGCTGGTAGCAGGAAACAAGACTATTATTTTTTTTGGCCTTATTGGGAGTAACACATAAATATGCCATTCCCTGCTATAGATTTATGATATACAGTATGTAGTTATTGGGAGTAACACATTTATGTGCCATTCCCTGATATAGATTTATAATATACAGTATGTAGTTATTAGGAGTAACACATGTATATGCAATTACCTTATGATATACAGTATGAAGTTATTAAGAGTAACACATGTGTCATTACTTGCTATAGATTTATGATATACAGTATGTAGTTATTGGGAGTAATTGGGAGCATTGATTACCTGCTATGATAACTTCTTCCTTAGCTTCATCACTCATTGTCATTTCATCAGTATAGGCTGGGTCTAAATACTTCTGTACTTCCTTGGCTGGAAACATGAAAATGAAAATATTGTACAAATGTAGCCCTTTCATGAGGTCAATCCATAGATATATTGACTTAACATCTATATATGGAAAGATCTCATGAAAGGGCTACATTTATTATATCATTTTTACAAAAGGCCACATTCGTTACAATTTTTTTAAAATGAAGATTGTCTGGATCTAATAAAAAAATATATTATTAGAAAGTACCAGTAAACCCTATTACCGGGTATTTGCTGATTAACCACATTATCTGGAAAATTTATTTGCTTTGAATAAAATATGCCAGCAAATCATGTCATTAATTACCTTCATCTTACCAAAGCGTCCCTTGTCCATCACTTGAAAGTACAGGTCTACCTGAGTTTTTTATGTTTATATTTAGAAAGACCCGGTCAATCCTCATTTCTTTACTTTGACACGATATCAAAATCAATCAATGATTGTATGAAAATAATATGTCCTTCTACCTGTTAAGTTCAAGATAAGTTTTGAAGCCACAGGGAAGGAAAATTATATTGTAAACGCCCATTGAACTGAATCATCATTCAGGTCATAATTAAATAAAGCCTAGATTATTATGTTGAAATTTGAGCTTGTTATTTATTCTTTTTATGTTTCAGAGTAATTTACAGAACATCCTGTACTGTCATTTAATATGTAAATAAGGTACACTTGTATGGAAAAGGTATTCAATAAATGTACAGTAAAACTTGTCTAATCTGGACACCACTGGTTCCAAAGAAATTGGCCAGATTAGGCAAATTCCAGATTAGGCAAAATTCTGGATTAGACAACATCTTAAACAATTGAATTTACTGAAAGGGACTTTAAGTTTCCATCGTATTAGACAAGATATCAGAATATACAACATCCGGATTAGTCAAGTTTCCAGGGGTTGAAATATACGGTAGCCAGACGCCCGGGGCTAGTCATTTTAAGACTTGGGCTAGATAATTTAAATGTAATGATAGTCCATCGGACTAGCTAGCAGTTAACAAAAAAAATTCTCGATTGTCAGTTTACCATAGATTTTTTATGTAGGCAGCTAAGGCTAGTTTCTTTTGACTGAGAACTAAGTTTACTTGTTCCTGTCACTAAAGCGTTTGACACTTAAAGAGGTAGGTTCACTTTGTGCATAAAATGGCCCTGTAGATAAACCAATTTATCCACTAACACAATATGTCACTTTATCAACATCAATATAAAGTAGAGACTTGGCTCTTTCAGTTTGTATATCAAAGTTTCCTCTAAAGAGTCCAGGTACTGGAAAACAGGTTGTGTGAAATTGCAATGTTCTTGAATTTTGCAGAAAACAGGTGAATTTGAGAACATTCAACAAAGAATTAAAGTATGAGCACACCCCTCGATCCAAAAATTAAAGTATGTTTTATATTCTTAGTGAGCAGTTCTTTCATAATATATTTGCACATTTTGGATCGGATGTTGTGCTGTATATGAAATATTGAAAAATATCATCATATTTTGGCCATTTCTGAAGAAATATACGGGATATGTGAATAATGACGCAATTCATGACGTCATAATGCATTGACTAGCAAGAAAATTACGTCATTTTTAGTAGGAATTCAGTCACCAAGTATTCAAGTAATATTTATTGCCTTGTCGACTAAAACTTTGCAATTTTGATTTTCAGAAATTTACAGGGCCAAAAAAGGCCCTAAGTGGCCCTTGCTCTTTGTTATGTTTTCATTTTGCATGAAAATTGTAGGGCTAGTTAGTTTGATATTTGGGCTAGTAAATTTTAACTGATCAGTTGCCTCTGGGCTAGTGGATTTTCCAGAAAAATTTCAACCCCTGGTTTCACTGTATTTCTTATCTAATAGACAAAAGGTTCATCTATATTACATATTAGCAAATAAAACTTTACTATTATAATAAATAATCAAATTACTGATTTTCTTACATTTTCTATAAATCTCAGATATCCTCTTCTTATTTTTTGTTGCAGTAGAAATCTTTTCTTGAATGTTGGCAAGTTTTTCTATGCACTGAAACCATTAAAAGCTATAAACAGTAAGTATGAACTAGACAGAAATCTATCAAATAATTACATATTTAATCCAATGTGTATTGCTGTCATCATTGCTGAAATCCTTTGCCTTTGTGAGTTTTGTGAGAACATTTTTAATTTTACAGAAGAGCTGTGCTGTTTGGGGCCTTTCATTGTGAAGAATCTATAATAAATATAAAATGTAAATTTATGATGGCATGACTTGACTCTGGCTATAGTTTTGATGTCTCTATGCCATCTTATATGTCTAACTTTAAATTTCTTGAAATTAAACAACTGTAATTGAATGTTTTAGATAACATTTAAAGCTTATTGATAATATCAAGATTTTTTTCATATGTAATCTAAATCATAGATATGAATTTATCATGTAAACAGAGAAAGTCATGCTATTTCATAGAAGTCTGTATAGAAGTGTTGCACAAATGCAAAGATTCAAGTTGTGAAAATTATGCCATCTGACAGGAGGCATGGTTAGAAACTAGATTAAATAAAAGAACTTTTAATTATCAAATGCCTTAAAAAAGAAATATTTTCAAACATGGATTTTTTTTTCTTTAAATCAATACACTGCATCATCATGAGTTGACAGTTTCTTGGCTTATGTTTTCTAGAATTCCACCATCTGTTTATCATACTTCTACTTTGTATGCCCTTGAGTTGGCAAGTATCTATTTTAAGTGAATCTGTCACTATTTCTGTGTCTTTGTCTGTTTGTAACTTTAACTTCACTCAACAGTAAATCAAAACTTCTGAAGCATGTCAAGTAATCAACATGGAAACTTCACATTTAGCACAAACATAATTTAGAGACAGAGGGTATGTCCTGACCCTGACCTAGGTTATATTGACTGGGTCAAGGTCATCTGTGTTAGAAATGTATATTAAATTCTTTTCTAGTCCATATCTTGGTAAAAGACAACTAGAAACATACTCTTGGCATAACAGTAGTGTCACTGTATGAACAGTCATTAGATGAAAGTCATTGTTAATTTGTCCCAATTTCAATTGGGCCTTGCTGGGGACATTCATCTGACACAATTATCTTGTTTTGCAAAAATGAAAATAAATATAGTTACTAACTGATGTTGTCAAGTGCAATAACTAATATGACTTTATTCTATTTAATGACTGTTTTTACAGATTCCTATCAAAGATTAGACATATAACAACAATCAGCCCTAAATCCAAATACATGTACAATTCAACTTTCATACAAGGAATTTCTGGGAGCAACTGTATATAAGGGCCCATACTGCCTAGGTCTGCTAGCAATTCAGTGTATTTTAGACACACACACAATAATAATAAAATACAAAACAAAACAGAACAAAAAAATAATATTAAGGATTACCTTGACAAAAAAAAAAAAAGAAAAGAAACCCACATTTGTTGAATAGTCTCCAAAGCAAAAGAAGTGAATTATTCTGATTTATTTATTATGGAAAATCCTTGTAACTAAAGTCCCTACAGACAAGTTTTATTGTACATATAAATGGGATTTCTAGTATAGATAAAGTACCATTGCAATATTGGTCAAAAGTGAATAAATAAATAATATATAAAATCTTCAATACCCCACCCGGTTATGTGAAAAAGTGATATACTAAGTATATGAACTTTGCAAGTGCATATATGTACAATATATATTATCTCAAAAACACAGAAAACCAAACACAAAACTGTGAGTATATATAGTAGTATAAATGTATCTAGCAGATAAACATCGTAACTTTACCTCATCTGCCCTCTTTTTGTCCTGCACAGATCAAAAGAAAAAAAAAGTACATGTACAACAACCATGCTCATCATGCACACACTACAGTAAAGGTACAATATAACATCAACACTCAACAGTGATACAAGTCACACAACTTACTATAGGGGAAGATAATTCTAATCTAAGTGTTTATACTGTGAACAATTCAGATTATGACAGTTAGTAAATATGAAACATTGAGAAAATGTGTAGAATATTTTATTTATCTCGATTTTTGGGGGGTTTGAAGGTACATACAAGCTCAAAAGGTTTACTATGATTATCATTAATATGGTGTTTATTTATAATCAGCGTGTGGAATTAGCTGTAAGTCCAAGACGAGTAAAAAATGTGTCGGACTAATAAACTTCATATAGCACTAGTCCAAATGGACTAGTGAAAATTTGACTATATTTGTTGAATTGGTTTTGATATATATATTAGTAAGATTTGGTTAGATTATTCTAACTTGTCATCATGGTCATTCAATGGCACTACCGACATAAAAACAGGTTGTGCACAGCCCACCAAGTGGTCATTTACTTTTGTTTGGTGGTCAGTCTCCCATATCAGAGATGAAATATACTGACCAAATGGTGGTCTTTTTTATTTGAATCCAATTTTTATTAAAAAAAAAAGCAAAGGTGCATTTGCATAGGCATCAGAGAATTTTAGAGAACATATTCCTTGCAAAATTAACATAGTTCGATCAATTTTCCAGGTGAATTTTCTGTGTAACTTTGTAAAAACGATACCTATAGTTGTCCGTAACAGCAGAACTTCTTGCTCAATTGATCAAAAAAAAAAAATTATTGTGTCTATAATTGGATAAAAATTCTATTCTTTCAATCGCTCTTTGGATCTTCGTCAATATTTATTTTCATAAAAGCCTGTTAAACACGAGCTCCTAATAATTTACTGGTATGGTGGGCACTTACTGCTGTAAAATTTAATTTTGTACACTTGAATGTAATATTTGTTGTTATTTTTTCTTTTTGGATGAAGTTGAAAATTCCATGTGACCTTTTCTTAATACATGTATGCATATTAATGATGAATTTAATATATTTAATAAATGGTTTTAAATAAAAGATTTACAAATTAAGTGACAGTTGCAATTCTTGTTTTTATTCAAAGTATATTGTTTTAAAACAATAATTTTATCATAATCTCACTGTATATCCTACTTTTATAAAGTATAATGCCATTGCATTGATATAATGCCATCCGCGAAGCGGATTATAAAACAGCATAAACTGACCCAAACCAGGTTATACTCGAATAATTTGGCCAAGAATTAGAGTCATTCCTTATAATTTAATTTTAAAAATCATTAAATAACTATGGGTGTAAAATTTCCTTCCTTTTATTAGTTCAAATTTGCTGCTCAATAATACAACCGAAGTAACGGAAGTGATGGGAAGCGAGGGGAGGTAAAAACTGATACATCGGCCTAATTGTTTGTTTACATGTGGTAAGTTCGAATTATTGTTTGAAGTTAAAGGTACATTTATTAAATCTGAAATTTTCCATGAATCCCGAGGACTGGAAATGAGAGGATTGTATGGATACAGATGATTCAGCTGGTTATCGGGGGGTGGGGTGGGGTGGGGTAGGGTGGGGTAGGGTGGGGGGTCCCCATACCAAACCAGGTTATACAGAAATAATTTGTGTTTTTTCAGCTGGAGTTTGGGTCTCAAAGCTGGAGATTTTTTATCAACATTTTTTCAAGTCGCAAAAGACCATCCAACCCACAAAATTCCAGAGAAATACCTTCTCCCAGTTTATTATTTTACAAATTTTATTTTATAAAGCTGTTGTCTAGTTTTAAGAAAAATATGATAAAGTTTTTATTCAAATGAAGTGAAATTGAGTATTCAAAATGAAATCAACTCATTTACTAGTAAATTAATTAAGAGTTAACAGCATCATTAAAACATTGGATAAAATTTTATTTTTGATTTAGTATTGATATATCAACTACTAAGTGAAGTAAAACATAGCTAGGTTTTATGTAACAAATTCTATTCCAGTAATTTGTTTTTAAATAGAATATGTACAGATGAAAAGTACCCTCTAAAAAATAAACAAATTAGAGTCAGGTATATTTTAGCAACACCCTGTAGTGTGATCTATTTTTAACTAGAGTGTGACCTACATCATAACTGTATCTTTTAATGACCAAAGCAGCATTAGAAGATGGCAACTGGGTATTTTAGCAACTAATTACAATGTTTTGCATTCAGTAATAAACATCAATGGTCTTTTATCAAGTTGATATATCACTAATTTCTATTTTACAACATAATTATACGACCTCATGTTGATTCCTACGAAGCCTACCGCTGTGAAAATTTATTGTACTGGCGTTGTTATCTCAATTTCTTTTCATTCTAAGCAATTATATGAAACATGATAAAAAAATATTGCAAATAATATTTAATTTGAAGAATTTTAAAACACGGAAGATTTAAAAATTAATCGGGAGGGGCGGAAGGGGGGGTGAAATATCTAGATATGGCAAGAAATTGGTACTGCGTTTTTAGGTTATACTTTTGTACCCTAGGGTACATCCTTATATAATGTATGGACAAAAAGGTTACAAAAAGGGTACGCTATATATTCCTACTGAAAATGAAAGTAGTGTCAGCATATTCTGTAGTGCTTTTGTAAACTAAATTAAAAAACAAAGCTGAAGCACAGGGTACAGGGGTTACAAAGGGTACACATGGGTACAGCTGGTTACAACTCTATTATAAAAGGATACAAGGGTTCTGAAGTCTAGATTTTCTAAGTTAAAAAATCAAACAAGAGAACTGAAGCACAGGGTACAGGGGTTACAAAGGGTACACTTGGGTACAGCTAGTTACAACACTATTATAGAGGGATACAAGGGTTCTGAAGTCTAGATTTTTCTAAGTTAAAAAATCAAACAAAAGAACTGAAGCACAGGATACAGGGGTTACAAAGGGTACACTTGGGTACAGCTGGTTACAACACTATTATAAAGGGATACAAGGGTTTAGAAGTCTAGATTTTTCTAAGTTAAAAAATCAAACAAAAGAACTGAAGCACAGGGTACAGGGGTTACAAAGGGTACACTTGGGTACAACTGGTTACAACACTATTATAAAGGGATACAAGGGATTTGAAGTCTAGATTTTCTAAGCTAAAAAATCAAACAAAAAAACTGAAGCACAGGGTACAGGGGTTACAAAAGGTACACTTGGGTATAGCTGGTTACAACACTATTATAAAGGGATACAAGGGTTCTGAAGTCTAGATTTTTCTAAGTTAAAAAATCAAACAAAAGAACTTAAGCACAGGGTACAGGGGTTACAAAGGGTACACTTTGGTACAACTGGTTACAACACTATTATAAAGGGATACAAGAGTTCTGAAGTCTAAAATTTTCTAAGTTAAAAAATCAAACAAAAGAACTGAAGCACAGGGTACAGGGGTTACAAAGGGTACACTTGGGTACAGCTGGTTACAACACTATTATAAAGGGATACAAGGGTTTAGAAGTCTAGATTTTTCTAAGTTAAAAAATCAAACAAAAGAACTGAAGCACAGGGTACAGGGGTTACAAAGGGTACACTTTGGTACAACTGGTTACAACACTATTATAAAGGGATACAAGGGATTTGAAGTCTAGATTTTCTAAGCTAAAAAATCAAACAAAAAAACTGAAGCACAGGGTACAGGGGTTACAAAGGGTACACTTGGGTACAGCTGGTTACAACACTTATATAAAGGGATACAAGAGTTCTGAAGTCTAGATTTTTCTAAGTTAAAAAATCAAACAAAAGAACTGAAGCACAGGGTACAGGGGTTACAAAGGGTACACTTGGGTACAACTGGTTACAACACTTATATAAAGGGATACAAGAGTTCTGAAGTCTAGATTTTTCTAAGTTAAAAAATCAAACAAAAGAACTGAAGCACAGGATACAGGGGTTACAAAGGGTACACTTGGGTACAGCTGGTTACAACTCTATTATAAAGGGATACAAGAGTTCTGAAGTCTAGATTTTTCTAAGTTAAAAAATCAAACAAAAGAACTGAAGCACAGGGTACAGGGGTTACAAAGGGTACACTTGGGTACAGCTGGTTACAACACTATTATAAAGGGATACAAGGGTTTAGAAGTCTAGATTTTTCTAAGTTAAAAAATCAAACAAAAGAACTGAAGCACAGGGTACAGGGGTTACAAAGGGTACACTTGGGTACAACTGGTTACAACACTATTATAAAGGGATACAAGGGATTTGAAGTCTAGATTTTCTAAGTTAAAAAATCAAACAAAAAAACTGAAGCACAGGGTACAGGGGTTACAAAAGGTACACTTGGGTACAGCTGGTTACAACACTATTATAAAGGGATACAAGGGTTCTGAAGTCCAGATTTTCTAAGTTAAAAAAATCAAACAAGAGAACTGAAGCACAGGGTACAGGGGTTACAAAGGGTAGACTTCGGTTCAGCGGGTTACAACACTATTATAAAGGGATACAAGGGTTAAGAAATCTAGATTTTTCTAAGTTAAAAAATCAAACAAGAGAACTGAAGCACAGGGTACAGGGGTTACAAAGGGTACACTTGGGTACAGCTGGTTACAACTCTATTATAAAGGGATACAAGGGTTAAGAAATCTAGATTTTTCTAAGTTTAAAAATCAAACAAGAGAACTGAAGCACTGGGTACAGGGGTTACAAAGGGTACGCTTGGGTACAGATGGTTACAACACTATTATAAAGGGATACAAGGGTTAAGAAATCTAGATTTTACCAAGTCAAAAAAATCAAACAAAAGAACTGAAGCACTGGGTACAGGAGTTACAAAGGGTACACTTGGGTACAGATGGTTACAACACTATTATAAAGGGATACAAGGGTTAAGAAATCTAGATTTTACCAAGTTAAAAAATCAAACAAAAGGACTGAAGCACTGGGTACAGGGGTTACAAAGGGTACACTTGGGTACAGATGGTTACAACACTA